TGTCTATATGTTGATATGTTGTTATTCTCTCACCAACTGTCTTCTGGCCCGATGTGGTGCTGTGGGCTAATGCATTGAACTGCAAGGTTGGTTAGAACCCCAAGGTTGGTGGTTCAAGCTCACCAGCCACTCATTGGAAACCCTAAACAGGAACTGACTCAATGGCACTTAACAGCAACTGTCTTCTCAGGGTGTAGTTAGAGAATGGAAGCATGTGCACCTCTCTCTATTTGCTGTTTAAGGTGTGTTTGACTGTTATATCATTGATAAGGTGGTATAGAAGCTAGCATTAACTCTTGCTCGGTGGATGAAGCTATAGAGGGTATAGTTGTGGCTGGGTGTTATGGTACGGCTGCTATCTCCTGCCAGGTGAGAAAGAGGAGAACCCTCTTACTTGACCCCCCCCCCCCACATACACAAGAAATAAAACAGAGTAAACAAACAAGCAACCAACAATGAAAAGAAAAAATAATAAAGGATGAGAAAGAAATAAAAACAGTCAGCACCCAGAAAAAAAACCCCAACAACATAATAACTAAAGGAAAAAAAAAGGAACAAGAAAATGGATTAATTGCTTCTTTGTGCCTTGATTTTATTCAGGCTTCTTTGCTTTGGATGGGGGATACTTTAGTTGTACCTTAGATGGCCGTTGACAAGCTTTGAAGACCCCAGTTGTTACTCATCAAAGTAAGAGGTAGAATAGTGTCTTTGTAGATTCGGCCATGCCAGTTGGCCCTAGTGTTCCCTGAGATTACAGTCCTGAATCTTTAAACCCAGGGAGTCCTTCCCTTGGGGTGTTTGGTTATGGATGAGAAATTTTCTTAACTTTGCCTCCTGTATGCTCTACTGTGATGTTGTTGTTGTTGTTAGGTGCTGTTGAGTCCATTCTGGCTCACAGTGACCCTATGTACAACAGAACAAACAGTGCCCAGTCCTTTGCCATACTGATAGTTGTTGCTATGTTTGAGCCATTGGTGTTGCCATTGTGTCATTTCGTCTTGTTGGGCTTTTCCTCTTTTTCACTGACCCTCCGTTTTTACCAAGCATGATGTCCTAGAGGAACTGGTCCCTCTTGAAAATATGTCCAGAGAACTAGAGATGAAGTCTCTCCATGCTCACTTCTGAAGAGCATGCTGGCTGTACTTCCAAGACAGATTGTTCGTTCTTCTGACAGTCCATGAGATTTTCAGTATTCTTTATTAACATTATAATTTAAATGTGTCTATGATCTTTCTTGGAGTCCTGGTGTGGCACTGTGGGTTAATGTGCCAGACTTCAAAGCAGTTTGAACTGTGAGGTTGGCAGTTCAAGCTCACCACTAGCTCCTTGGAAACCCTATACAGGGTCAGAACCAACTCAACAGCACTTAACAACAGCAACAACATGGTCTTCCTTATACCTTGCCCAATTTTCCCAAGTATATGAGGCAATTGAAAATACTATGGCTTGAGTCAAACATATCTTTGTCCTCAAACTGCTATTTTTGCTCCTTAACACTTTAAAAGATGTCTTTTATAGTAAAAGTTCCTAATGCTATAAGTAGTTTGATGGTGTTGGAGAAGAATATTAAAAGTTCCATGGACTGCCAAAAGAAAAACCAATCTGTATTGGAAGAAATACAGCCAGAATGCTCCCTGGAAGCCAGGATGGCCAGAATTTGTCTCTCATACTTTGGACATATTATCAGGAGGGACTAGTCCTTATAGAAGATCATGTTTGGTAAAATGGAGGATCAGAGAAAAAGAGAAAGACTCTCAGTGAGATGAATCGGAGAAGTGGCAACAGTGATGGGCTCAAATATAGCAATGATAGTGAGGCTGGTGCAGGCTCAGGCAGTGTTTTGTTCTCTTGTTCATAGGGTCGCTATGAGTCAGTACCAATTTGATGGCACCTAACAACAGCTAAGTAAGTTATTGGATTTCTTGACTGATCCTTCCATGAATGTTGATTGTGGATCTAAGAAAAATGAACTCTTTGTCAACTTCAATCTTTTCTCCATTTATCATTATGTAATTTATTGGTCCGGTTGTGAGAATTTTTGTTTTCTTTACATTGCAGTGCAATCTGTTCTGAAGGCTGTGGGTGCTGATCATCATCAGCAAGTGTTTCAAGTCCTTTTCACTTCTAGCAAGCAAGGTTGTGCCATCTGCACATCTCAATTGTTAATGAATCTTCCTACAATCCTGATGCCACCTTCTTCTTCATATAACCCAGCTTATTTTATATTGAGTAAATGCAAAAGAATGCAACCCTGATGCACACCTTTCTTAACTTTGTACCATTTGGTATCCCCACGTTCTTTTCTAACTGCCTATAACGAGCTCTGATAGCGTAATGGTTATGAGTTGGGCTGCTAACCTCAAGGTCAGCAGTTCGAAACTACTAGTAGTTCCACAGAAAGAAAGATGAGGCTTTCTGCTCCCATAAAGATTTATAGCCTTGGAAACCAGTACAGGGTTGTTATGGGTTGGTTCCAACACTTAACAACAACATAGGTCTATGTACAGGTTCCTCATGAGCACAATTAAGTGTACTGGAATATCCATTCTTTGCAATGTTACCCATAGCTTTTTATGATCCACAGTATTTTCACAGATATATTTGCAGCACATATAAATAATGAGTAGAATTATATATATATATATATTTGTGTGTGTAGTCCCATTCACCTTCTCTCTCCCCTTGTCTATCTATATATCTACCTATAGATCATTGCTATTATTACTTCAGGATTGTGTCTGTAGTAGTATTAACATTTGTGACCTTTAACTCGGTGCTTCTACCAGTGGTTTCCTTTTCCTGGATCATTTTGTGCTGACCTCCCCTTTGTTGTATATTGCTTTTGCCTTCAGCCTTCACCCAAGTAAATACTTGTTTACCTTCTAATTAGTGCTTTTTAAATACATTTTTATTGTTATTGGAGAAAGCTTGTAGTTAGGTTTCCATTTGGCATTTTCCACACAAATTATTCAGTGAGACTAGTTATATTTTTACAATATAGCAACATTTTCTTTAATTTTGTTCTGTTTGTCCCATTTCTAATACTCTTAATTTCCCTGCCCCTTTATTGTCTCATCTTTTATCCAGAGTAAATGTTGACCTTTGAGTTTCATTGTTGTTGTTGTTGTCGTCAGGTGCCATCGAGTCGGAACCGACTCATAGTGACCCCATGCACAGCAGAACGAAACAATGTCCGATCCTGGGCCAACCTCACTACCGCTGCCACACTTGAGTCCATCAATGATGCCACCTGGCCAATCCATCTCGTTAGGGGTCTTCCTCTTACCCAGCATGACATCCTTCTCCAGCGACTGTCAAGAAAACAAAAATCCTCACCACTGGAGCAATAAACAACATTCTTATCAGTGGAGAAAAGATTGAAGTTATCAAGGACTTCATTCTTCTTGGATCAACTATCAATACTCGCGGAAGCAGCAGTCAAGAAATCAAACAGAATATTGCCTTGGGGAAATCTGCTACACAAGACCTCTTTAAAGTGTTGAAGAGCAAAGATGTCAGTTTGAGGACTAAGGTGCACCTGACCTAAGCCATGGTATTTTCAGTAACTTCATATGCATGTGAAAACTGGACAGTGAATAAGGAAGATCATAGAATTGATGCATTTGAGTTATGGTGTTGGAGGAGAATATTGAAAGTGCCATGGGCTGCCAGAAGAACAAAGAGATCTGTATTGGAAGAAGTACAGCCAGAGTGCTCCTTGGAAACCAGGATGGCTAGACTTCAAGTCTTATACTTTGGGCATATTGTCAGGAGAGATTGGTCACTGGAGAATATCATATTTGGGAAAGTGGGGGGTTGGAGGAAAAGACGAACAACCCCCTCCCACACCCCCAGTGAGATGGATTGGCACAGTGGTGCCAGCAGCAATGGTCTCAAATGTAACAACGATTGTGAACTTGGTCCAGTACTGGGCAGTGTTTCATTCTATTGTGCATAGGGTCACTATAAGTTGGTACCGACTGGATGGCACCTAATAATAAAAACGTTCTTTAGCCTTCTCCTCTTTTTCATCTCTCCAGTACTTTCCCAGGACCCCTCTTACTGTTTCTTGGTCTAGAACTTTGAGGATTTAATTTCCCCATCCTTGTGTATAGGACCAAAGTGGTGAGAGGATGAAGAGATCTTAAAAACCAAACCAAAACAGTACAAACAATGGGAATTTTGCCAATATACTTGGTCAGAGAAAAAAGCTTTCCTCCCTGAGCATTTGACACCTGCCTGATCACTCCCATTGTCAATGTTACTGATGCTGGATTTCCTGGAGTCTGAGGTAGGATAGGAGGGAGATTTTAGAGAATTCTGAAGTATTTCCTCTCTAATCTATAGAAAACTCCTTTCTTGCTCCTCAGGTCAGAAATAGATACCCTCTCTTGGAGCTCTTTCTGTCCTGTCCACTGCTGATACACAGTTATAGGCTTCAAGATGTTTTTGAGGCTATACCAGGTGATACCAAAAGGAAAAATCCAGAAAACTTTTGCCAGTTCCATGGTAGTTGGAGTTCTACTTTTCTTTCTCCAACCATATACATCTCAGAGTGCTCAGAAAGCCACTCCATGCATTTTATTGGAGGTTTTGAGTTACCTTCAGTAGGAAGCATATAGTGAAGTGTGCTTCCACAATCTTGATCAAATATGGAAATGTGTGTGAGAGTGTATTTAGTACAGAATGAGAGCTTCTGAATCTCTTTCATTTATCTTGGTAACAAAAGAAGAAAAGATAATAGGGAACTAATTTCTACTGTGCATCAACTACATTCGAAACACTATGACTTAGAGTACAAAGATATCATTCTATAAGTCTCTGTGAGGCACATTGTCATCTTTACACATAGCTCACTTACATAGGAAAAATTAGACTCACTTTAATTATAATAAATAGTAGATAAATATGTATCCTGCTCTGTTTCGGAAAGAAAGATCCAGAAAGTTATGTGAGAAAACTAGAAATGACGCTAAGAGTGATGTCCTTTCTCTCTGCAGGATGGAAGAAAGTGATGTTGTGATCATGCAACCAGGGATTGTATGCATCATGGTGAGACTGCTGCCCCAGTTGTACGATGAAGATTACCCACAGGTACCTTCTCTGTCTTTTTGACCTAATTGGTCCTTAAAGCTCCTTCTTGTCCAAAACTCTCTTTTCTTTTTGCCTTTGCTCTTGGTAACCCCACCCCACAGTCTATTGGGTACCACTTCCTGTGAGTAAATGTCAGTGTGTTTGAGATCCTTGTTTGAGTTATGCTCACCCTTCCAAGGACATTCAAGACAGGTCACTTCTGTTGGTGAAGCAACCTTCTAAATACAATACTTATTGTGGGGCAAATGGTGGCTGCCAGCCATATCACTGTGCACTCTGATGGGTGTGTGCACCAGAAGTCTGTCATTCCCCATGTAGCCAATTCTTCCATTGGGTGCCTACTATGGTCCTGGCCTTATGTTGTGTGTGAACTGTGCAGGGTTAGAAAGATGGGTATTGACATTTTCTTACATCTCTGATGGGGACCAGGGGTTGGGGTGGTCTGTTGATAATGTAAATAAGATTTAAAATAATAAATTCATAAATGAATATGCAATTACAAATTGTGCAAGAGGTACTAAGGGCAAAGCAGAATCTCTTTTTCTTTTCATTTTTGACAAGGGAGAGAATTATGAAAATGAATGGAGGACAGCCCTAATTAGATCTAATTTAAATGGTGGGGTGAGGGTCAGGGAAATTAGTTCTTAGATGGTGACATCTAAGCAGAGACTAAAAGATGAATTAGAATTAACAGGGGGAGAAGGAGGAACTGGAAGCAGACACTTGGGCAGGAGCAGTGTGGTAGAGTGGGAGATGTGCAAGATGGGATAACGAGAGTAAACTGGAGACTTGTGAAGATTTGGAATTTCATCCCAAGGGCAATAAGAAGTTTCTTCAGGTAAGAGTAGAAATGGCACTTTTTTTTTTTTTTTTTTTACTTTGTAGTTGGGATTAGGATAGTGTATGTGGGAAAAGATGAAGAGGAAGAATTCTAATATTCTAAACTGCTGTAACACAAATACCACATGTGGATGGCCTTAAAGAACAGAAAGTTATTTTCTCACAGTTCAGGAGGCAATAAGTTTGAATTCAGGATCTGTAGGCTCTGGGGAAAAGATCCTTGTCTCTTCCAGCATTCCCTGTTTCCTTAGCTGTCTTCCTCTGACATCTATCTTTCCTTGTTTTTGTTTCTTTGTCTGTGTGTCAATGCTGCTCCTTGTAACTCAATAGTGATTAGATGTAGGATGCATTCTGTTTTCATAGGGCCTTGGTAACATAACAAAGAAAACCCTATTTTCAAATTATATTACATGTATAGGCTTCCAAAATGCTTGTATTTCATGAAGGACAATTAAATCCATAACAAGATCTATTCAGAGATAGAACACAGCACCCTGTGATTAATGGGATTTAGAGAGTGGTCTCTGTAGGATAAGCTAACCACAAAGTTTACAGTTCAAACCCACCAGCTACTCTTTGGAAACCCTGTACAGGGTTGTTATGAGTCAGAACCAACTGGATGGCAAAACAACAACAGGGAGTGAGAGGGGTTCAGATGTGGTGCTGTAGGATAAGCATAGTATTGAAACCACAATTTCAGCAGTTCAAACCTGCCAGCTACTCCTCGGAAACCCTACACAAGTTGGCCCTTAACCATTACCTGGTGATAATATTATAGTCCTTCAAAGGCCAGTGAGAGAAGTGGAGTAGAGGCATAGAGGAGGAAAGATCCTTTATGGGTAGGGTGTAAGGAAGGAAAGAATTTTCATGAAGGAAATCCTGCATTGTTTGGTACCAATCCAAACCAAACTCAGCTGCTGCAGAATCAATTCTGACTAATAGGGCAGAGTTTCCAAGGCTGTACATCTTTATGGAAGCATACTGACACAACGTTCTCTCACAGAGTGGATGGTGGGTTTATACTGCCAACCTTTTGTTTAGCAGCTGAATGCTTTAACCATTAATCATCTTGCACAGCATCATGTCTCTTTGATAACAGGACTTTTTGTTCTGCTTATGACCCTCTGCTTGAGAGAGAAGGTAAAATAATTAGGAGATGAATGGAGGTAAATTTAATAGTAAGATGAAATGCATTTTATAATTTAAAACATTTGCAGAAAATAAGTGAGTAGATCAGGATAAAATGGGTTTTATCTTCCATTTGTGGATTACTGTGTAACAAACTGGAGTCCTTATATGACACTGTAGGATAAGTACTGGACTGAAAATTCAGTTTGAACCCCAAGGTCAGTGGTTTAAACCTACCAGCTGCTCCTCAGAAACACTATACAGGGTTGCTATGAGTCAAAGTACACTCGACAGCACTTAACAATAACAACATGTAACAAGTTATCCTTTAAGTTAGCAAAACTGATTTTAGTATATCTCACAATTTTGTGGGTCAGGAATTGTTTATTACCTTTTAAAAATTTGTTCTATTATCCAATAACTTTTCAGCAGGGTGTTATTCAATTTTCATGTATTTGACTTTGTTTCCTTGATCTTCCTACTGTTGAGTTCTAATGCTATAGCACTGTGATCTGAAAATATGTTTCAGTGTTTTAAAATGTATTGAGGCTTGGTCTGGCCTAACATATGGTCTATTCTGGTGAATGTTCCATGTGCACTGGAAAAACATGTGTATTATGCTGTTGTAGGGCTGAGTTTTCTGTATAAATCTATGAGGTCAAGTTAATTGATTGTACTGTTCTGTGTTTGTGATGAGTTTCTTCATAGTTGTTTTGTCTTTTATTGAAAGTGATGTATTAAAAATCCTGTTATTAAAGAGTTATTTCTTTCTTCAATTCATTTGAAGTTGGATTTATGTATTTTGAGGTTCTTTCATTGGTAGTATAGATATTTATTTTGATTATATCCTCCTGTTCAGTTGACCCTTTAATCGTGAGATAATGTTCTTCTTGGTCTTTTATGCTGGTTTTTGCATCAAAGTCTATTTTGTCAGAAATTAATATTGCCACTCCTATTTATTCTTGATTGCCATTAGCTTGGTATATTTTTTTTCTTCTATTTTTGTCTTTGTGTGTGAGGTATGTCTCTTGTAGACAACATATTAAAGGATCCTGTTTTCCATTTTTTTACTCTCTGTCTCATGGCTAATCCATTTAGTACATTGATGTTTAGTGTAATTATCAATAGTTATGAATTGATTGCAATAATTTTGCTGGTTGTGTGTGTGTGTGTGTACAGTGTGCTGTTTTCTTTGTTCAGCATATTTTTCTGTGCTAAGTTTATTTTGTTTGTGTATTTTCTTGTCAAAGGTTTCACTACTGTTGTTTTAATATTTACAAAAACTTTGTGCTTTTCCTTTTTGTTTTTTTTTTTTCCATTTTAGGTGGAGGTGTGTTAATTTTGTTTGAGGTTACCCTTTAATTTATTAATTTCTTCCCCAGTTTAAAACAGCCAGTTCCATCTTGAAATCTATTTGACTTCCTCACCGTTTGGATTTCTGTAACTATACTTTGCCCTATTTTTGCTTTGTAGTTGCCTTGATTATAAATTGATAATCTGATTTCCTATTTTCAGTCTTGTAAATTTGTTTTACTTTGCATACTTCTATATCTGGATTGAATTCTGGGTGGTGTTGCAGTATTTGTCAATTTCTGGTTATTGTCTGCTGTTTTTGGATCTCAGTCCAAAGTACTCCCTTTAGTATTTTTGTAATTGGCTTGGTTTTTATGAATTCCTTTAATTTCTGTTTACCTAGAAATGTTCTAATTTCACCATTGTATTTTAGGAAAAGTTTTTCTGGGTATATGATTCTTAGTTTACTTTTTTTTTTTCTTTCAGAGTTTTATATATGCCTACCTCTTACCTTCTTGCTTGCATTGATTCTGCTGAAAAATCAGTGCTTAATCTTAGTGGTTCTCCTTTGTAGGTAACTTTTCAATTTTCCTGAGCTGCTTTCAGGATTCTTTTCTTGTCTTTGACTTTGGAGAGTTTGATTATGATATCTCTTAGCGATTTTCTTTTGGGGTCTATCCTGTTAGGTATTTATTCAGATTCTTGAATGGCTATTTTCTCATCTTTCAGGATGTTAGGGAATTTTTCTGCCAACAGCTCTTCAGCTATCTTTTCTGTGCATTTCTTTGTCTCTTACTGTTCTGTAATTATAGTCATCCATAAGTTAATCCTCTTCATGTTGTCCCACCTGAATCTTAGGCTTTCTTCAGACTTTTTCATTCTTTTTTCTGATTATTCTTCTAGCTTACTAGTATTGAGAGATTTATCTTTCAAGCTCACCAATTTTGGCTTTCATTGTTTCAAATTTACTCTTTGCCTTTTCAATGTATTTTTTATTTCTAATGTCTTAGTGTTAGTCCTTTGGATTTCTGTTTGCAGGTTTTGTATTGTCTCCAGTCCTTTATCAATTAAAGAAAAAAAATTGTCTTTAACACTTTCATAAATTCTTTGTTTTCTCTTCCTTTCTGTCAGTCCTTTGACCTTACCTGAATTCCATTCTTTTGAATTCTTTTTCAGGTAATTCTAATGCCTTGTTTTCCTCAAAAATGTTTTCTAGGTCTGCCTACTGGTCATTTGTTTGAGCTACTCTGTCCTGTTTCTTCATGTATATGGAAGTTGTCTGCTTCTTCCAACATATTTTAATATTGTTGTGTTTGCATTAAGTTGATACTTTTCTGGTGGTATATTCTTAGACACTCACCAACTGCATCTGGTGCAGCATTCTCTGTTTGTTGTTTATGCAGTTCAATTTAGGGTGTATTTGATGGATATTAGTTGTTGTCATTGATCCAGTGTATAGCAATGGCATTGGCTCTTGCTCAACAGATGTGGTTGTAGAGGGTACAGTTTTAATTGAGGTGTTAATTAAGGTGTATGGTTGCAGTTGCTGTCTTCTGGCAGGTGAGGAAAGAAGAGAAAACAAACTCACAAGAGAGAAGTAAACAAACACAAACCATTAAACAACAGTGAATAAATGAAAATAGCAAAGAAAAAAGAAGAAAGTAGGCAGGAGCTAGCAAAAGAAAATAAAGCCCAAAGAGAGAAAAGGAGAGGAAAATAAAATAATAAAGAGGGAAAAT